GCCCTGCGAGACTCTTCTCAAATTGCTCAAGCAATTCGTTGCTCGACCCTGTGTAGAGAAGGTCATCGACGTAGACCGTAAGTAGGATGTATTCGCCGCGGAAATCGCGGTGATACATCCCAGGGTCGTGAGGCAGCTGCTTGAATCCGTTTTCAAGCAGTATGTTGTGCAGGTACTGCTGCCAGAGTCTCGGCGCCTGTTTAATCCCATACAGGGACTTGCGTAGCTGACAGACGCGTGGGTCCCCGTCTCTGTATGTGTGCGGCTGCTCAACATAGATCACTGCATCTACTAACGCGTATAAGAATGCGTTCTTCACATCAATCTGTCGTAGCGGCAGGTGTCGTGCGGCTGCAATGGCGAGGAGAATTCTGACGGACGTGTGACGGCTAATCGGTGCGAACGTCTGGTCGAAGTTGATTCCATGCCTTTGATCGTAGCCTTGCACCACCCAACGTGCCTTGAATCGCTCGATCGTCCCGTCAGCTCCTGTCTTCACGCAGAAGACCCATTTCCCGAAGAGAATTCTTCTCCCATTCACTGCTGCACGGTCGACGAGCACCCAGGTGTCGCGTGACTCGAGTGCCCGGATTTCCGCATCCATTGCTTCGCGCCACTCCTTGCTGTGTGGGCCTGTAAGAGCTTGCCGTGCGTTTTTAGGCTCGATGATGCATGGCGCCGTTGAGGTGGCTGCGTGGAGCCCGAGGAGTTGCATTCCGGTGACGGTGCTATCGTGGCGGTGCTGTGGGATGACCTCCTGCACATCGTCGTCGTCACTTTCTGGTTCAGGTGGCGCTGGTGGTGCTGTGCCTCCGCCGCTTCCGCTTCCTCCTGCTGCGCCTCCTGTTGCGCCCGCTCCTCCTTCTTCCGAATCATCGTCGTCGTCGTCGCGACGATCGCCCCTCGTGAACTCGCCTCTGGGATCCTGCTCCAGAATTGCTGCTACGGCTTTGTGCTCAGGTGAGGCGTAGCTGTGCCCCTCGTTGGCGTAGACGCGATTTGCGTTTGTTTGCTCATCGTCATGGAATTGCCGCAGGAAGAGCCGCTCGTAGAAGATGACGTCGCGCGCATTCTTGATTTTCTGGCTCAAGAGATCCAGGATGATCCACGCCTTGTGTTCGTGGCTGATGCCGAGGTGGATCCCCCAGCGCGCACGGCTCTTGAATTTCCCGATGGTTGATGTTGGCGGGCGGTATTGAACCATGCATCCCCAGACGCGGAGCATGGATGTGCCGCCCTTCCTTCCCGTCCACTTCACATGTAGCAAGGAATTGCCGGTGATCGCGGTGGTTGACAGTAGGTTGTGCACCCGCACGGCGTGGTGCATTACGTAGGTCCAGTAGATTGGCGGGAGTTTTGACTGCCTCATTAGCGCCCGCACCTTCGTCATGAGGGTGCGATTCGTGCGCTCTGCTACGCCCTGCTGCTGGTGTGCGTAGGGGAGAGAGATGTGGTGCTCGATCCCCTTTTGCGCAAGGTAGTCTTGCAGCTCCTTGCTCCTGAATTCTGCCGCGCCGTTGGACTGCCAGATCTTCAATTTCTCCCCAGATTGTCGCTGCGCGTGCGCCAGCCATAGGCGGAATGCTTCGTAGGCTCTGCTGCGTGATTCCACGTTTACGACCCACACGTGGCGCGTTCCGGCGTCGACGAAGGTGAGTGTGTAGAGCTCGTCGTTGATGCCGCAGTGCCCTACGTTGAGAAAGTCACTGTAGACTTTCTTCAGCTTGGCGTAGCGATTGGTTCCTGGCTCGAGCAGGGGGAAGGGCTGGTGACTCAGCGCAGCTTCGGGGCAGATGGTGCAGGTGCGCGGGTGAGTTCCACCTCTTAATTCAAAGCCGTCAGGGCGCAGCAGTGCGCCAGGTGCGAAGACGCCGGCCTCGATGCAGTTCTTCAGGGTCACGCGCGAAGGGTGACCCAGGCGTTGGTGCCAGATGGTATCGTCGGCGCGGAATCCGGAGGTGCGCATGTAGCGCGCGAGTGCTTCTGCGGGGTCTTCGTCAGGTGCTGGTGCAGGTGTAGGCGCTGCTCCCTCGTTCTCTTCTTCTTCCTCGTTCGCCGTCGTTAGCATGAGGGCGAGAAATTCTCTGTCGCGGATGATTGAGTAAGGGATGTTGGTCCCTGGGATCGTTCCGAGCACTAAGGTTGGCTCGCGCGGTTCGGGAGCAGGACTGTAGACGGTGCGGCGCGGTGTGGATGGCTCATTGCCCCAGTCAATGGTGTCCCAGGGGTCGCGTTCCGGCTGTAAATCAGGCGGGGGCAGGGTAGGTGTGAGATGACGCGGTGGGCGACCAAGAGGAACAATTGCTGGTTCTGCTGCTGCTTCTTCCTCTACCCCCCTTTGGTCCTCGCGGGAAGCTCCTGTGAAGATAGTGTGTAGAGTTAGGAGCCATAGCTAGGTAAGTCCTAGCTAGGCAAGAGAAGTTTAGGCAAAAGAGGAGGGTTTTCACTAGCAGCAATGAGGATACATATAGCAAACCCTAGATGGGTTGTACTCGCTATAGAGCACCCCACTACAGGCTAGAGAATAACATTCTGACACACCCCCATAGCCAAAGTGGGGTGTAATCAGTACAATGAGCAAGCAGGTATAGAGCAGGAGTTCACAAAGGTAAGCAAAGCTAGAGCTAATCACAGCGGGCAAGTGAGGAGGACGAGGAGCTGTGGAGGTAGAGAAGATGGGAGGCAACGACTGAAGCTGCAGAGGCACGGGCACAGGAGCGGCTGACTCAGAGGCTACCGAAGCAAGGGCGACGGACTACTGGAGTAACTGGCTCGGCGGCTATAGAAGAGCGGCAGGAGCAACGGACCCACTGGCGACTGGTGCAGCAGGCTCACTGGCTACCGAAGCAAGGGCGACGGACTACAGGCGCTGCAAGCGACACGACAGGTACATCCACACAACCTCCTCCAACTGCCCCACACCCTCGACACACACCCACTGCTCAAACCCTAGCTCCACTCCCACGCACCCCCCTAAAACCCTAAACCCCAGTCTCCCACTCATCCACCCCCCTCAGCGACAGCTGCAGCAGTGGGAGACAAAGGAGGAGGAGGAGAAGGGCACGGCGCGCACAACGGACACCCCCACAACCACCACCCCCACACTCCTCACCCCCAAACCCTAAAACGGGTGGGATAGGGGCAGGAGCGCGGGGGACGGAGAGGGGGGGGAAGGCGCGAGCCTCTAGGGCGCCAGAACGGACGGGTGGGGCGAGGGAAGGGGCGTGGAGCGCGCTGCTCCCCTGGGCGCCGCGACGGACGGGCGGGAGGGACGCGCGCGCGGCTCCCCAGGGCGCCGCGACGGCCTGGCGGGGCGCGCGCGGCCTCCCGAGGGCGCCGCGACGAGCTGACGGGGCGCGCGCGGCCTCCCCAGGGCGTCGCGACGACCACGCAGGGCGCCCGCTGGCTCCCCAGTGCGTCGCGACCGACGGGCGGGGCGCTCGCGGGCTCCCGAGGGCGTCGCGACGGACGGACGGGGGGCTCGCGGGCTCCCCAGCGCGCCGCGACGGGCAGGGTGGGGGGCCGCGCGTGCTCCCCAGGGCTCCGCGACGGACGGGCGGGGCGCGCGCTGGCTCCCCCACAGCAGTAAACCGCCGCGCGCCTCGGGGCGCACGGCGGGCAGAAAACCGCCGCGCGCCCCGAGCGCGCGGCGGGATGAAAAATAAGAGGCCGCGCACCACGGGGCGCGCGACACAGCGTAGGGCAGCGGAAGCAGTAGGAGGGCCCACAGGCCAGGAGCGTATGTGCTCTGATTCCATGTGAAGATAGTGTGTAGAGTTAGGAGCCATAGCTAGGTAAGTCCTAGCTAGGCAAGAGAAGTTTAGGCAAAAGAGGAGGGTTTTCACTAGCAGCAATGAGGATACATATAGCAAACCCTAGATGGGTTGTACTCGCTATAGAGCACCCCACTACAGGCTAGAGAATAACATTCTGACAGCTCCCCACCCGCTCGTCTCGCCGCCTTGTACGGCGCCCCATCCGCCGACGTTTTCGCCTGTTGCTGCGCCCCATCCGCCGGTTGCGGCACCCCACCCGCCAGTGTCGCTTGTTCCCCATCCGCTAGCGCTCCCCCACCCCCCTTCATTGGAAGCGCTCTCCTCGTCATGCTCCCAAGCGAGCGTTCCACGCGCCTCGGCGAGACTCTTCTATCGAAGCTCTTCGGCTTCTTCGAATCGCGCCGGTGAGAGTATTTAAGTTTCATGCATAATTTACCGAAACCGCAAACACCTAAAAGTTATTCAGTAGTTAATAAACATCATCATACAAAACTATCTGAAAAAGACTCAGTCAACCTACATCGAAAAAATAAACGCATCATCTAATGAAGCGCAAACATGAACTAAGAACCCACAGGCACCAAACCAGGCCCTGGATTGCGACATTCAGTCACGAAAGGTCACGGGAACAGTACCGACAACAGTCATATACAGACCCTCTCGTGTATACACATGATGCCCGTTTGAGCCACTCCCGGTTGCCTTGTAAAGGAAGCTTATAAGCTGTAACTCGAATTTCGCCTAAATTTCGTCGATTCGCAGCTAGCAAAAAAGGATTCGTCAGGTGCTTATAAAACTGTTGTAACCTATCCGTTGACATTTTGACTTCAGTCTCTTCAGTGTGACTTCGGTCTGTTCGTTACAATTGGTTCATAACCACTGCAACTTGCGCAACGTGCTTGTAACGGGCGTGCAACTGGCTGGGGAAAAAACCTCGGGTGCAGGGTTTCCATCCGGTGCAGGGCAAATTCGCGTGCACGGGTTGGGCATCATGTGTACCTCGAAGTCAGCAGCTACGGAGAATTCCAACCCTAAACAGTTACTAACGTCCGACAGCTCAACCCAAGCATTCATCGACGTTGATGACTAGGGAAACCACCAGCCCTATCCAGCCGAAACACAACCCCCGACTGGATTTCACAGATCCACATTTTTCCGATGTTCTCCGTGTCACTCACTGCTCGCGTCGCTCACTCCCTGCCGTGACTCACTACAGCGTCATAGTCAATCACACGTCACACGTTCGCTCGTCACTCGCTCCACGCCTTCGTGTGCCCACCCCGTCGCCCTCGCTCCCCTCCTCGCCGCCCTCGCTTCCCTTCTCCCGTCGCCCTCGCTCCCCTCCCCGCCGCCCTCGCTTCCCCTCCCCGCCGCCCTCGCTTCCCCTCCCCGTCGCCCTCGCTTCCCCTCCCCGTCGCCCTCGCTTCCCCACCCCGTCGCCCTCGCTTCCCCACCCCGTCGCCCTCGCTTCCCCTCCCCGTCGCCCTCGCTTCCCCTCCCCGTCGCCCTCGCTTCCCGTCCCCGTCGCCCTCGCTTCCCGTCTCCGTCGCCCTCGCTTCCCCTCCCCGTCGCCCTCGCTTCCCCTCCCCGTCGCCCTCGCTTCCCCTCCCCGTCACCCTCGCTTCCCCTGCCATCGCCGTATCCCTCGCCCTCGCTCCCCCTGCTCGTAACCCTCACCTCCCCATCCATCTAAGGATGGTCGAATCTGCTGGACTATTCGCGGATTACCTCGCGTCGCTGCCGGCCGCGCAGCTCGACCGCCTATACTCCTCCCTCTACACGTGCCAAGCCGTGCTCAGGTAAACGCTTCTTTTAACTAAGCGTGAGTTCCACTGCCGTCCAGCTGCCCAGCGGTTCCGAAACACTCATCATGAGGGTGTGGCATTCAACGGCGCGAGGTGACGGGGACCCGTTTCCATGCTCCTCCTTTCCTCCTTCCCGCGCATTTCGCTGTCCCCTCCTTATTGGCCTCCCTTCCCAGACTCTCCCAGCAGCGGAGGTCCCTTCTTCCGCATCTCTTCCCCAGGACCTTGGTCCCTTTGTTCCCCCACCCACGCATTTCTCTTCTCCCCACTCGTCCCCGCACTCGCTCCTCTGTTGGTTTCCCCACCCACGCTTTCCGATGCGCCACTGCAACCCCACCACTCTCCCCGCACCCCATTCTCACCGCACCACACCCCCTTCTTTTCCCCCTCGCATGCTGCTCGCTTCTCTCGCCAACCCTCTGTCCCCGCTCCCCCTTCCGCAGCTCTCCCTCTCCTGCCGCGCTTACGCCTCACTTACCTCTCCCTCATTCATCCCATTCCCTTCCTTCCTCCCCCAACCTCGCATCCATGTCACTCCCTCCTCTGGTCCAGCAGGGAGTGTTGTGTCTGCCCCTCCGCATCGATTTCTACCCCAATGCACTTCCAACAACCCCCAGCACCCCCACACACACCTCCCTCCCTTTCTCCCCTCCTCCCCCTTCCTTCACCTCGTCTTTTCCGCCCCCACCTCCGTCCGCCCCCCCTCTCATCACAGGTCCCCCCCTCTCATCACAGGTCCCGCCCTCTCATCACAGGTCCCGCCCTCTCATCACAGGTCCCGCCCTCTCTTAGCCAAGCAGCACATGCTGCCACTGCGCCTACCAGACCTCTGCCTACTCCACTCCCCCAGCGTCCCCCCTCTTCTTCCCCTCCCCCCCCATCCCTTTCCCCCCTTTCTCATCCTTTCCCTCCTCCATTTTTTCCTTCCCTTCCTCCTTCCGTGCACCCTCCTTCTTCTTACCCTCCCATCCGCAGGTCCCTGCCCTTTCCAACCAGCCAAAGCAGTACATGCTGTGCTGCCTCTGCTCGTCCTCCCACCCCGTGCCTGCTGGAACCCCCCTCCTTTCACACTAACCCCACCTTGGCCTCACACTCACCCCTCATCCCCCCCAGGTCCCTGCCCGCACCAGCCAAGCAATACGTGCTGCGACTGCTCTTCCTCACGGACCATGTGCCTCCCACATTCCTTCTCCCTGCTTTCCCACCCCTCCCCCCCCACACTAACCCCACATGCAGGTCCCTCCCTCCACTGGCCAAGCAGTACGTGCTGCGACTGCTCTTTCTCACCGACCCTGTGCCTGCCGCGCTCGTGGCTGATTGGCCCAAGCCCGAGGCACACAGCAAGCACAAGGCGGCCCTTGACAGGCTGCAGCAGCTGCGCCTGCTGCTGGCATGCAGGTAGGGCTGCAACTCTCAAGTGTGCTCTCAAATGCACTCTCAGGTGTGATCTCAAATGCACTCTCAGGTGTGCTCTCAAATGCACTCTCAGGTGTGATCTCAAATGCACTCTCAGGTGTGCTCTCAAATGCACTCTCAGGTGTGCTTTGCCCAACCTTCATCCACCCCACATGCAGCGGAACAGGGATTCTAATCTAACAGCATCAGGATCGTTGGCATCAGCATTTTCCACGCGACTCAAAGGTCACCTGCCCCCCCGCTCCCGCCATCCATCCCACGTGCAGCGAAACAGGGTCTCTGACAGCATCAGCATCAGGATCATCAGTATCAACGTTTTTTAGCATCCCCCCCACCCGCTCCCCCCCTCCCTCATCCCACGTGCAGCGAAACAGGGTCTCTGACAGCATCAGCGTCAGGATCATCAGTATCATTGGTATCAACATTTTTTAGCATCCCCCCCCGAACACCCCCTCTTCTTTCATCTCGCGTCCAGCGAAACAGGGTCGCTGGCAGCAGCAGCATCGTCGGCACCAGCAGCGTTCCGCCTGAACCCCACCTTCCAGCAGCAGCTGCAGCAGGCGCTCACATCAGGGTGAGTGCAGCAGGCGCTCACATCAGGGTGAGTGCAGCAGGCGCTCACATCAGGGTGAGTGCAGCAGGCGCTCACATCAGGGTGAGTGCAGCAGGCGCTCACATCAGGGTGAGTGCAGCAGGCGCTCACATCAGGGTGAGTGCAGCAGGCGCTCACATCAGGGTGAGTGCAGCAGGCGCTCACATCAGGGTGAGTCACTCGTTGATGATTGCTGTGCCAGCAAGCCCTTATTAGTCACGCAGCGGGATGCGTGTCATTGGTGTCACCATGCATTGGTGCGCATGGTGTGTGCTCACTCGCGTGAGGGTGACGTGTGTGGGGACTCGACTTGTCCATGCCTTCCCCACTCTCATCCCCACCACTCACACCTCACTTCCCTCTCCTTCCCCCTCACGCCCGTCACAACCCTTCCATGTCATTCTCCCATCCCTTCAAAGAGCAGTAATTTCATTCCATGCTAAAGCGCGTGAGAGTGATAAATCCCACCCACCACTCATCTCGACCACATTCTCTCTTCATGTCCCTTGACTGCACCTGTGGCTTGTTCCCGCTTCCCATGTTCGTGTTCCGCTTCCCATGTTCGTGTTCCGCTTCCCATGTTCGTGTTCCGCTTCCCATGTTCGTGTTCCGCTTCCCATGTTCGTGTTCCGCTTCCCATGTTCGTGTTCCGCTTCCCATGTTCGTGTTCCGCTTCCCATGTTCGTGTTCCGCTTCCCATGTTCGTGTTCCGCTTCCCATGTTCGTGTTCCGCTTCCCATGTTCGTGTTCCGCTTCCCATGTTCGTGTTCCGCTTCCCATGTTCGTGTTCCGCTTCCCATGTTCGTGTTCCGCTTCCCATGTTCGTGTTCCGCTTCCCATGTTCGTGTTCCGCTTCCCATGTTCGTGTTCCGCTTCCCATGTTCGTGTTCCGCTTCCCATGTTCGTGTTCCGCTTCCCATGTTCGTGTTCCGCTTCCCATGTTCGTGTTCCGCTTCCCATGTTCGTGTTCCGCTTCCCATGTTCGTGTTCCGCTTCCCATGTTCGTGTTCCGCTTCCCATGTTCGTGTTCCGCTTCCCATGTTCGTGTTCCGCTTCCCATGTTCGTGTTCCGCTTCCCATGTTCGTGTTCCGCTTCCATGTTCGTGTTCCGCTTCCCATGTTCGTGTTCCGCTTCCCATGTTCGTGTTCCGCTTCCCATGTTCGTGTTCCGCTTCCCATGTTCGTGTTCCGCTTCCATGTTCGTGTTCCGCTTCCCATGTTCGTGTTCCGCTTCCCATGTTCGTGTTCCGCTTCCCATGTTCGTGTTCCGCTTCCCATGTTCGTGTTCCGCTTCCCATGTTCGTGTTCCGCTTCCCATGTTCGTGTTCCGCTTCCCATGTTCGTGTTCCGCTTCCCATGTTCGTGTTCCGCTTCCCATGTTCGTGTTCCGCTTCCCATGTTCGTGTTCCGCTTCCCATGTTCGTGTTCCGCTTCCATGTAGTCCGTCCATGTTCGTGTTCCGCTTCCCATGTTCGTGTTCCGCTTCCCATGTTCGTGTTCCGCTTCCCATGTTCGTGTTCCGCTTCCCATGTTCGTGTTCCGCTTCCCATGTTCGTGTTCCGCTTCCCATGTTCGTGTTCCGCTTCCCATGTTCGTGTTCCGCTTCCCATGTTCGTGTTCCGCTTCCCATGTTCGTGTTCCGCTTCCCATGTTCGTGTTCCGCTTCCCCTCTACTCCCCCATCTCCCCATCCCTTCCACTTCCCTCCATTCCCCACCCACACGCACGCAACTGTTCTCCACCGCACAGCACAGCCCCCCCTGCTCTCTCACTGACTCACCTCCCCCAAGTCTCGCCCCACTCCAGCATGCCTGCATCTGTGCTCTTCCCTCCCCCCCCCCTTCTCTACCCTGATCTCCCCTTCTCCCCTCGCCTTCTCACTACTGCAGTGCGCCCGTGTCCCGGCCCAGCATGCTTGCCTCAGTGCCACCCGCCTGCCGTCTGTGGCCTTCCCTTCCTTCACACCCCCTCCTCCCCCTGCTCTCTCCCTCCCCCTGCTCTCTCCCTCCCCCTGCTCTCTCCCCCCCCCTCACCTTCTCACTGCTTCAGAGCGCCTGTATCTCGACCCAGCGTGCCGGCCTCTGTGGCCACCCGCCTGCCGTCTGCTGCTGAGCTGGCAGCCCATGCCACGAGCCACTGGGAGGTGAGGCATGCACCACTGGCCAAAAAGAGGAAGAAGAATGAAGGGACGCAGTTCTTTCACTTGTTCTGCATGCCCGCTTGGAGGAGCAAACAAATTTCCCTCTCCCCTTGCTTCCATTCCTCCTCCCCCCTTCGTCCTCCTTACCTTGGCCTCGTTCTTCCACCCACCCTCATCCTTTCCACCCCATGCCCCATCTCTCATCCTTTCCACCCCATGCCCCATCTCTCATCCTCCCATCTCTCACCCCAGGCAGTGCCCATGCATCTCGTATCGCTGCCGTCTATAGCTGGGGGCCACAGTGCTGCTGCCCTTCCCTCCCTCCCTCCCCTACCTCCTAACCTGATCTCATTCTCCCACCTCTCATCCCCATGCCTCTCACATACCCCAGGCAGTCCTCATGCATCTCATATCGCCGCCATCCATAGCTGGGGGTCACGGCGCTGCTGTCATCACACGAGTGCTCGTACGAGCGGGCCTGCTCACCCACTCGTGAGTACCAGAGCCAGCAGCACAGGGCAGGCAGAGGTGGGGATTGGGTGCTGCTGCTGTCACCAGACTTGTGCTTGTACGAGCGGCCCTCCTCACCCACTCGTGAGTGTTCCTGATTTATTGACCGAGCTGCCCGGTACCAGCAGCACAGGGCAGGGGAGGGGGACAGAGTGCTGCCGCTGTCATCATGCTTGTGTGCTGTGCGCATACAAGCTGTCATCATGCTTGTGTGCTGTGCGCATACAAGCTGGCCTCCTCACCCTTTCGTCGTGAGTTCATTTCACCTATTCAGCTCGGCAACACCACCAAAGCCAGTAGCACAGGGAGGAGGGGGACAGGGTGCTGCTGCTGCTGTAATTACACGAGTGCACATACGAGCGAGCCTCGGTATGCACTCATAAGTGGCGCTGCTTCTGTTGCTGCCACCGCCGCTGCTTCTGTTGCTGCCACCGCCGCTGCTTCTGTTGCTGCCACCGCCGCTGCTTCTGTTGCTGCCACCGCCGCTGCTTCTGTTGCTGCCACCGCCGCTGCTTCTGTTGCTGCCACCGCCGCTGCTTCTGTTGCTGCCACCGCCGCTGCTTCTGTTGCTGCCACCGCCGCTGCTTCTGTTGCTGCCACCGCCGCTGCTTCAGTTGCTGCCACCGCCGCTGCTTCTGTTGCTGCCACCGCCGCTGCTTCTGTTGCTGCCACCGCCGCTGCTTCAGTTGCTGCCACCGCCGCTGCTTCTGTTGCTGCCACCGCCGCTGCTTCTGTTGCTGCCACCGCCGCTGCTTCTGTTGCTGCCACCGCCGCTGCTTCTGTTGCTGCCACCGCCGCTGCTTCTGTTGCTGCCACCGCCGCTGCTTCAGTTGCTGCCACCGCCGCTGCTTCTGTTGCTGCCACCGCCGCTGCTTCTGTTGCTGCCACCGCCGCTGCTTCTGTTGCTGCCACCGCCGCTGCTTCTGTTGCTGCCACCGCCGCTGCTTCAGTTGCTGCCACCGCCGCTGCTTCAGTTGCTGCCACCGCCGCTGCTTCTGTTGCTGCCACCGCCGCTGCTTCTGTTGCTGCCACCGCCGCTGCTTCAGTTGCTGCCACCGCCGCTGCTTCAGTTGCTGCCACCGCCGCTGCTTCTGTTGCTGCCACCGCCGCTGCTTCTGTTGCTGCCACCGCCGCTGCTTCAGTTGCTGCCACCGCCGCTGCTTCTGTTGCTGCCACCGCCGCTGCTTCTGTTGCTGCCACCGCCGCTGCTTCAGTTGCTGCCACCGCCGCTGCTTCTGTTGCTGCCACCGCCGCTGCTTCTGTTGCTGCCACCGCCGCTGCTTCTGTTGCTGCCACCGCCGCTGCTTCTGTTGCTGCCACCGCCGCTGCTTCTGTTGCTGCCACCGCCGCTGCTTCAGTTGCTGCCACCGCCGCTGCTTCAGTTGCTGCCACCGCCGCTGCTTCAGTTGCTGCCACCGCCGCTGCTTCTGTTGCTGCCACCGCCGCTGCTTCAGTTGCTGCCACCGCCGCTGCTTCTGTTGCTGCCACCGCCGCTGCTTCTGTTGCTGCCACCGCCGCTGCTTCAGTTGCTGCCACCGCCGCTGCTTCTGTTGCTGCCACCGCCGCTGCTTCTGTTGCTGCCACCGCCGCTGCTTCTGTTGCTGCCACCGCCGCTGCTTCAGTTGCTGCCACCGCCGCTGCTTCAGTTGCTGCCACCGCCGCTGCTTCTGTTGCTGCCACCGCCGCTGCTTCTGTTGCTGCCACCGCCGCTGCTTCAGTTGCTGCCACCGCCGCTGCTTCTGTTGCTGCCACCGCCGCTGCTTCTGTTGCTGCCACCGCCGCTGCTTCTGTTGCTGCCACCGCCACTGCTTCAGTTGCTGCCACCGCCGCTGCTTCTGTTGCTGCCACCGCCGCTGCTTCTGTTGCTGCCACCGCCGCTGCTTCTGTTGCTGCCACCGCCGCTGCTTCTGTTGCTGCCACCGCCGCTGCTTCTGTTGCTGCCACCGCCGCTGCTTCTGTTGCTGCCACCGCCGCTGCTTCAGTTGCTGCCACCGCCGCTGCTTCAGTTGCTGCCACCGCCGCTGCTTCTGTTGCTGCCACCGCCGCTGCTTCTGTTGCTGCCACCGCCGCTGCTTCAGTTGCTGCCACCGCCGCTGCTTCAGTTGCTGCCACCGCCGCTGCTTCTGTTGCTGCCACCGCCGCTGCTTCTGTTGCTGCCACCGCCGCTGCTTCAGTTGCTGCCACCGCCGCTGCTTCTGTTGCTGCCACCGCCGCTGCTTCTGTTGCTGCCACCGCCGCTGCTTCAGTTGCTGCCACCGCCGCTGCTTCTGTTGCTGCCACCGCCGCTGCTTCTGTTGCTGCCACCGCCGCTGCTTCTGTTGCTGCCACCGCCGCTGCTTCTGTCGCTGCCACCGCCGCTGCTTCAGTTGCTGCCACCGCCGCTGCTTCTGTTGCTGCCACCGCCGCTGCTTCTGTTGCTGCCACCGCCGCTGCTTCTGTTGCTGCCACCGCCGCTGCTTCTGTTGCTGCCACCGCCGCTGCTTCTGTTGCTGCCACCGCCGCTGCTTCAGTTGCTGCCACCGCCGCTGCTTCTGTTGCTGCCACCGCCGCTGCTTCTGTTGCTGCCACCGCCGCTGCTTCTGTTGCTGCCACCGCCGCTGCTTCTGTTGCTGCCACCGCCGCTGCTTCAGTTGCTGCCACCGCCGCTGCTTCTGTTGCTGCCACCGCCGCTGCTTCTGTTGCTGCCACCGCCGCTGCTTCTGTTGCTGCCACCGCCGCTGCTTCTGTTGCTGCCACCGCCGCTGCTTCAGTTGCTGCCACCGCCGCTGCTTCTGTTGCTGCCACCGCCGCTGCTTCTGTTGCTGCCACCGCCGCTGCTTCTGTTGCTGCCACCGCCGCTGCTTCAGTTGCTGCCACCGCCGCTGCTTCTGTTGCTGCCACCGCCGCTGCTTCAGTTGCTGCCACCGCCGCTGCTTCTGTCGCTGCCACCGCCGCTGCTTCTGTCGCTGCCACCGCCGCTGCTTCTGTCGCTGCCACCGCCGCTGCTTCAGTTGCTGCCACCGCCGCTGCTTCTGTTGCTGCCACCGCCGCTGCTTCTGTTGCTGCCACCGCCGCTGCTTCTGTTGCTGCCACCGCCGCTGCTTCTGTTGCTGCCACCGCCGCTGCTTCTGTTGCTGCCACCGCCGCTGCTTCAGTTGCTGCCACCGCCGCTGCTTCTGTTGCTGCCACCGCCGCTGCTTCTGTTGCTGCCACCGCCGCTGCTTCTGTCGCTGCCACCGCCGCTGCTTCTGTCGCTGCCACCGCCGCTGCTTCAGTTGCTGCCACCGCCGCTGCTTCTGTTGCTGCCACCGCCGCTGCTTCTGTTGCTGCCACCGCCGCTGCTTCTGTTGCTGCCACCGCCGCTGCTTCTGTTGCTGCCACCGCCGCTGCTTCTGTTGCTGCCACCGCCGCTGCTTCAGTTGCTGCCACCGCCGCTGCTTCTGTTGCTGCCACCGCCGCTGCTTCTGTCGCTGCCACCGCCGCTGCTTCTGTCGCTGCCACCGCCGCTGCTTCTGTCGCTGCCACCGCCGCTGCTTCTGTCGCTGCCACCGCCGCTGCTTCAGTTGCTGCCACCGCCGCTGCTTCAGTTGCTGCCACCGCCGCTGCTTCTGTTGCTGCCACCACCGCTGCTTCTGTTGCTGCCACCGCCGCTGCTTCTGTTGCTGCCACCGCCGCTGCTTCTGTTGCTGCCACCGCCGCTGCTTCTGTTGCTGCCACCGCCGCTGCTTCTGTTGCTGCCACCGCCGCTGCTTCAGTTGCTGCCACCGCCGCTGCTTCTGTTGCTGCCACCGCCGCTGCTTCAGTTGCTGCCACCGCCGCTGCTTCTGTTGCTGCCACCGCCGCTGCTTCTGTTGCTGCCACCGCCGCTGCTTCTGTTGCTGCCACCGCCGCTGCTTCTGTTGCTGCCACCGCCGCTGCTTCTGTTGCTGCCACCGCCGCTGCTTCAGTTGCTGCCACCGCCGCTGCTTCTGTTGCTGCCACCGCCGCTGCTTCTGTTGCTGCCACCGCCGCTGCTTCTGTTGCTGCCACCGCCGCTGCTTCTGTTGCTGCCACCGCCGCTGCTTCTGTTGCTGCCACCGCCGCTGCTTCAGTTGCTGCCACCGCCGCTGCTTCTGTCGCTGCCACCGCCGCTGCTTCTGTCGCTGCCACCGCCGCTGCTTCTGTCGCTGCCACCGCCGCTGCTTCTGTTGCTGCCACCGCCGCTGCTTCTGTTGCTGCCACCGCCGCTGCTTCTGTTGCTGCCACCGCCGCTGCTTCAGTTGCTGCCACCGCCGCTGCTTCTGTTGCTGCCACCGCCGCTGCTTCTGTTGCTGCCACCGCCGCTGCTTCAGTTGCTGCCACCGCCGCTGCTTCTGTTGCTGCCACCGCCGCTGCTTCTGTTGCTGCCACCGCCGCTGCTTCTGTTGCTGCCACCGCCGCTGCTTCTGTTGCTGCCACCGCCGCTGCTTCTGTTGCTGCCACCGCCGCTGCTTCAGTTGCTGCCACCGCCGCTGCTTCTGTTGCTGCCACCGCCGCTGCTTCTGTTGCTGCCACCGCCGCTGCTTCTGTTGCTGCCACCGCCGCTGCTTCTGTTGCTGCCACCGCCGCTGCTTCAGTTGCTGCCACCGCCGCTGCTTCAGTTGCTGCCACCGCCGCTGCTTCTGTTGCTGCCACCGCCGCTGCTTCTGTTGCTGCCACCGCCGCTGCTTCAGTTGCTGCCACCGCCGCTGCTTCAGTTGCTGCCACCGCCGCTGCTTCTGTTGCTGCCACCGCCGCTGCTTCTGTTGCTGCCACCGCCGCTGCTTCAGTTGCTGCCACCGCCGCTGCTTCTGTTGCTGCCACCGCCGCTGCTTCTGTTGCTGCCACCGCCGCTGCTTCAGTTGCTGCCACCGCCGCTGCTTCTGTTGCTGCCACCGCCGCTGCTTCTGTTGCTGCCACCGCCGCTGCTTCTGTTGCTGCCACCGCCGCTGCTTCTGTTGCTGCCACCGCCGCTGCTTCTGTTGCTGCCACCGCCGCTGCTTCAGTTGCTGCCACCGCCGCTGCTTCAGTTGCTGCCACCGCCGCTGCTTCAGTTGCTGCCACCGCCGCTGCTTCTGTTGCTGCCACCGCCGCTGCTTCAGTTGCTGCCACCGCCGCTGCTTCTGTTGCTGCCACCGCCGCTGCTTCTGTTGCTGCCACCGCCGCTGCTTCAGTTGCTGCCACCGCCGCTGCTTCTGTTGCTGCCACCGCCGCTGCTTCTGTTGCTGCCACCGCCGCTGCTTCTGTTGCTGCCACCGCCGCTGCTTCAGTTGCTGCCACCGCCGCTGCTTCAGTTGCTGCCACCGCCGCTGCTTCTGTTGCTGCCACCGCCGCTGCTTCTGTTGCTGCCACCGCCGCTGCTTCAGTTGCTGCCACCGCCGCTGCTTCTGTTGCTGCCACCGCCGCTGCTTCTGTTGCTGCCACCGCCGCTGCTTCTGTTGCTGCCACCGCCACTGCTTCAGTTGCTGCCACCGCCGCTGCTTCTGTTGCTGCCACCGCCGCTGCTTCTGTTGCTGCCACCGCCGCTGCTTCTGTTGCTGCCACCGCCGCTGCTTCTGTTGCTGCCACCGCCGCTGCTTCTGTTGCTGCCACCGCCGCTGCTTCAGTTGCTGCCACCGCCGCTGCTTCTGTCGCTGCCACCGCCGCTGCTTCTGTCGCTGCCACCGCCGCTGCTTCTGTCGCTGCCACCGCCGCTGCTTCTGTCGCTGCCACCGCCGCTGCTTCAGTTGCTGCCACCGCCGCTGCTTCAGTTGCTGCCACCGCCGCTGCTTCTGTTGCTGCCACCACCGCTGCTTCTGTTGCTGCCACCGCCGCTGCTTCTGTTGCTGCCACCGCCGCTGCTTCTGTTGCTGCCACCGCCGCTGCTTCTGTTGCTGCCACCGCCGCTGCTTCTGTTGCTGCCACCGCCGCTGCTTCAGTTGCTGCCACCGCCGCTGCTTCTGTTGCTGCCACCGCCGCTGCTTCAGTTGCTGCCACCGCCGCTGCTTCTGTTGCTGCCACCGCCGCTGCTTCAGTTGCTGCCACCGCCGCTGCTTCTGTCGCTGCCACCGCCGCTGCTTCTGTCGCTGCCACCGCCGCTGCTTCTGTCGCTGCCACCGCCGCTGCTTCAGTTGCTGCCACCGCCGCTGCTTCTGTTGCTGCCACCGCCGCTGCTTCTGTTGCTGCCACCGCCGCTGCTTCTGTTGCTGCCACCACCGCTGCTTCTGTTGCTGCCACCGCCGCTGCTTCTGTTGCTGCCACCGCCGCTGCTTCTGTTGCTGCCACCGCCGCTGCTTCTGTTGCTGCCACCGCCGCTGCTTCTGTTGCTGCCACCGCCGCTGCTTCAGTTGCTGCCACCGCCGCTGCTTCTGTTGCTGCCACCGCCGCTGCTTCAGTTGCTGCCACCGCCGCTGCTTCTGTTGCTGCCACCGCCGCTGCTTCTGTTGCTGCCACCGCCGCTGCTTCTGTTGCTGCCACCGCCGCTGCTTCTGTTGCTGCCACCGCCGCTGCTTCTGTTGCTGCCACCGCCGCTGCTTCAGTTGCTGCCACCGCCGCTGCTTCTGTTGCTGCCACCGCCGCTGCTTCTGTTGCTGCCACCGCCGCTGCTTCTGTTGCTGCCACCGCCGCTGCTTCTGTTGCTGCCACCGCCGCTGCTTCTGTTGCTGCCACCGCCGCTGCTTCAGTTGCTGCCACCGCCGCTGCTTCTGTCGCTGCCACCGCCGCTGCTTCTGTCGCTGCCACCGCCGCTGCTTCTGTCGCTGCCACCGCCGCTGCTTCTGTTGCTGCCACCGCCGCTGCTTCTGTTGCTGCCACCGCCGCTGCTTCTGTTGCTGCCACCGCCGCTGCTTCAGTTGCTGCCACCGCCGCTGCTTCTGTTGCTGCCACCGCCGCTGCTTCTGTTGCTGCCACCGCCGCTGCTTCTGTTGCTGCCACCGCCGCTGCTTCAGTTGCTGCCACCGCCGCTGCTTCTGTTGCTGCCACCGCCGCTGCTTCTGTTGCTGCCACCGCCGCTGCTTCTGTTGCTGCCACCGCCGCTGCTTCTGTTGCTGCCACCGCCGCTGCTTCTGTTGCTGCCACCGCCGCTGCTTCAGTTGCTGCCACCGCCGCTGCTTCTGTTGCTGCCACCGCCGCTGCTTCTGTTGCTGCCACCGCCGCTGCTTCTGTTGCTGCCACCGCCGCTGCTTCTGTTGCTGCCACCGCCGCTGCTTCTGTTGCTGCCACCGCCGCTGCTTCTGTTGCTGCCACCGCCGCTGCTTCTGTTGCTGCCACCGCCGCTGCTTCTGTTGCTGCCACCGCCGCTGCTTCTGTTGCTGCCACCGCCGCTGCTTCTGTTGCTGCCACCGCCGCTGCTTCTGTTGCTGCCACCGCCGCTGCTTGCAGAAGCAGCTGCTGGACCTCCAATCCACCTCCACATTCCTGAGCCATCAATTTTTGGGCAAGCCCAGAAAGTCAGAGATTCAGAGGATCAGAGATTCAGAGGATCAGAGAATTGAGGGTGAGAGGCTGTGTGAGCACATTTCAGGGAGCGTGTTGTGCATCACTCTGCTGATTCTAGCTTGAGGCACCCGGAACCGCTCCGCACCTCCTCAGACTCAAAATTCCCTGGTTGGATGTTACGCGTACGTTTACGCACGTTGTACATTACTTGTGTGGATCTGAAATTTGTTTACGTTCAAGAATTCGCTTGGGCTGCCCGACAACTGTGCAACCTGTTTTCGGCTGTAAAATCGGTTTCTTCTTGCACAACCATAGGGTGGGTGTCACAGCAATAGTTTAACCACGACCCACATAGTTTTGGTGACGGATTTCATTTATCCAGTTTTTTCGACCCGGCCGCGCTTTCCCCCCATCTCCCGCTCACAGCATCGCCACTTTTTTTATCTCACTGCCTCTTGTCCCACTCTTGGAGTCGATGGCTCTGGTCGGCAATTTTGTTTTTCCTGCCCGAATATATGCTAATCGTATTTACGCGTACATAGGCATATCTTTACGTATACGCGCAACACTGCGATAAGTGGGGTCCAAAAACGTTTTTTGGACCCAATACCACTCCCTACCCCCTCATCTGTCTTGTTGCTCCCTACCCCCGCATCCTCCCTGTTGCTCCCTCCTATTTCTGTCGTTCCTCCCCTTCTCCCCCACCACGTCCCCCTCGGACCCATTGTTTCTCAGGGGGTGCTCTCTCTCAGTCGTATCAACCTCCGCCTTCCCCTTCCTTGTGCGCTTTCTTCTCATCACTTCCTAAAGGAACTTGGAGCATTTATTTTGCGTTGTTGCTCTCGCCCAGCGATTCGCTGTTTACTTTACTTGGACCGCAGAGCCTTCTCTCACCACGCCTCGTGCTTCCTCCTGTTCCTTTCCTCAAGCGTGCCGTTGCTACCTCTTCATATCTAGTTTCTTTCTTATTTATCCTATGACTCCGTGTGCAAAGCAAATGCTACTTTTTCCTTCCGTGTGTGTTTGTGTTCCATGGCACGGGGCACGGGTCACGGGGTGCGGGCACGGGCAGCTCAAGGACCGGAACGAGCAGCTGTGGGCAATAGTCTCGAGCTACATTGAGTCGGCCCAGGTCAGTTCACTGAGTCAACACGAGTCAACGTGAATCAACTGAGTCAACATGAGTCAACTAGCTGGACAAACAAAGCTAGTTGAGTCAGCCAATGGCTAATGGACCACAGCAAGTCTCTCTATCCCGTCGGTCGGCCGGCTGTAACTCGTCCAAGCATCCCCCCTTGCTGTACAGATTCATATCCTTCATTGCCCGCCAAGTGGAATGTGGGGATGCTTGGATGAGCCTGCATTGCCCGCTATGGATGACTGCTATGGCCCATGGGTGACATTTGACGCTCAGTATTGAAGAATGACGTGGCTTCTTTGCTCATGATTCTCCCGTCCTTCTCCAGTCATCCCTCCCTTCCTCTGATTCGTTTTCCCCCCGTTCCCCTTGTTACGTCTCCCGCTTCCTTTTGTCGTCTTCCCCCACCTTTCTTCTTTTCCCGCCTTCTCCCCCCACATGCCAGGACAGGGGGCATGACAGTGGGGATGTGATCGCATTTCTCCTGGAGCTCGGATTCCACAACATTGGAACGGTACGGTTACAAGATTGGAACGGTACGGTTACAATGTACGGTTACAAGATTGGAACGGTACGGTTACAGGATTGGAAAGGTACGGTTACAAGATTGGAACGGTACGGTTACAGGATTGGAAAGGTACGGTTACAAGATTGGAACGGTACGGTTACAAGATTGGAACGGTACAGTTACAGGATTGGAACTGTATGGTCACAAGATTGGATCGGTACGGTTACAGGATTGGAACTGTACGGTTACAAGATTGGAACGGTACGGTTACAGGATTGGAACTGTACGGTTACAAGATTGGAACGGTACGGTTACAGGATTGGAACTGTACGGTTACAAGATCGGAACGGCAGGGTTACAGGATTGGAACTGTACGGTTACAGGATTGGAACGGCAGGGTTACAGGATTGGAACGGTACGGTTACAGGATTGGAACGGTAGGGTTACAGGATTGGAACGGTACGGTTACAGGATTGGAACGGTACGTTTACAGGATTGGAACGGTACGGTTACAAGATTGGAACGGTACGGTTACAGGATTGGAAATGTACGGTTACAAGATTGGAACGGTACGGTTACAGGATTGGAAAGGTACGGTTACAAGATTGGAACGGTACGGTTACAAGATTGGAACGGTACAGTTACAGGATTGGAACTGTATGGTCACAAGATTGGATCGGTACGGTTACAGGATTGGAACTGTACGGTTACAAGATTGGAACGGTACGGTTACAGGATTGGAACTGTACGGTTACAAGATTGGAACGGTACGGTTACAGGATTGGAACTGTACGGTTACAAGATCGGAACGGCAGGGTTACAGGATTGGAACGGTACGGTTACAGGATTGGAACGGTAGGGTTACAGGATTGGAACGGTACGGTTACAGGATTGGAACGGTACGTTTACAGGATTGGAACGGTACGGTTACAAGATTGGAACGGTACGGTTACAGGATTGGAAATGTACGGTTACAAGATTGGAACGGTACGGTTACAGGATTGGAAAGGTACGGTTACAAGATTGGAACGGTACGGTTACAGGATTGGAAAGGTACGGTTACAAGATTGGAACGGTACGGTTACAAGATTGGAACGGTACAGTTACAGGATTGGAACTGTATGGTCACAAGATTGGATCGGTACGGTTACAGGATTGGAACTGTACGGTTACAAGATTGGAACGGTACGGTTACAGGATTGGAACTGTACGGTTACAAGATTGGAACGGTACGGTTACAGGATTGGAACTGTACGGTTACAAGATCGGAACGGCAGGGTTACAGGATTGGAACGGTACGGTTACAGGATTGGAACGGTAGGGTTACAGGATTGGAACGGTACGGTTACAGGATTGGAACGGTACGTTTACAGGATTGGAACGGTACGGTTACAAGATTGGAACGGTACGGTTACAGGATTGGAAATGTACGGTTACAAGATTGGAACGGTACGGTTACAGGATTGGAAAGGTACGGTTACAAGATTGGAACGGTACGGTTACAGGATTGGAAAGGTACGGTTACAAGATTGGAACGGTACGGTTACAAGATTGGAACGGTACAGTTACAGGATTGGAACTGTATGGTCACAAGATTGGATCGGTACGGTTACAGGATTGGAACTGTACGGTTACAAGATTGGAACGGTACGGTTACAGGATTGGAACTGTACGGTTACAAGATTGGAACGGTACGGTTACAGGATTGGAACTGTACGGTTACAAGATCGGAACGGCAGGGTTACAGGATTGGAACGGTACGGTTACAGGATTGGAACGGTAGGGTTACAGGATTGGAACGGTACGGTTACAGGATTGGAACGGTACGTTTACAGGATTGGAACGGTACGGTTACAAGATTGGAACGGTACGGTTACAAGATTGGAACGGTACGGTTACAGGATTGGAACGGTACAGTTGCAAGATTGGAACGGTGTGGTTACACGGTACGGTTGCAAGATTGGAAGGGTATGGTTACAATATTAGAATTGTATAGTTACACCATTGGCATGGTACGGTTACAAGATTGGAACGGTATGATTACAAGAATGGAATGGTACAGTTACACGATTGGCACGGTATGGTTACAAGATTGGTAGGGTTACAAGATTGGAACGGTGGGGTTCCAACATCGGAGTGGTATGGTTACAACAACCTTGGAACGGTGCGGTTACTACGGTTACAATACGAGTTAGGCATGCTACGGTTACAACATAGGCATGGTACGATCACTAGATAGGCATGGTACGGTTACAACATAGGCATGGTACGGTTACAACATAGGCATGGTACGGTACGGCTACAACATAAGCGTGGTGCGGTTACAGCATTGGCATGGTCTGGTTACAACATTGGCCCAGTACGGTTGCAACATTGGCATGGCACAGTTACAATTTTGGCACGGTATGGTTACATCATAGGCACCATATTGAACGGTACAGTTGTAACAGTACATATTATTGTTACAACTGCTACAGTTGATCAAAGAACCATCTATATGTCACCACAACGCTGGCAAAATTCATTGAGATGGGTGCGTTAGTGGCACAATGTTGCATTGCCAAACGTCACTGCTTTGCCCCCTCCCTCATTCTCTGCTCCCCCCATCCCCCCTCCTTCCTTCCCCTACCCTCTCTTGTGATACACATGGATGTGTGTCCGTCATGCACCCATCATGCACCCATCATGCACCCATCATGCACCCATGCATGCATCCATGCATCCATGCATCCGTGCACCCATGCACGCACCCCCCCGATCTCCATGCCCCCATATGCCCCATGCGCCCACGCCCAGAGCAGCCATACAGCATGGCAACGCTGACGGGCATGCAGCAGGAGGTGGTGGAGGAAATAGCCCAGCTGGGCTTCGTGCTCACGCAGAAGGTGCGCTCTCGTCTGCACTTCACCTGTACTATGTATGTGCAGCGCATGCTGTATGTGCAGCGCATGCTGTATGTGCAGCGCATGCTTAAACCAAGATGGTGGGCCATCCTCGCATGCCAGAGTTTGTTAACCTCTTCGTTGCATCATCCATACCCCTCACACCGCACCACACCGCTCCACACCACCCCACATCACCCCGCACCATCCCCTCACCCGCATCGCAGGGGAGGCACGACCAGTGGTTCATCCCAACGCACCTTGCAGCTGCACTCTCCTCCAGCCTATCAGAGTCTGCCACGTCAGATTCAGAGGTGAATGAATGAGGGCCATCTTGCATTACAGCATAGCATAGTGGTGCTCACACCTTGAGGCTTGTGCTATAGCCACGAGCTATACTGTTTTCCCTCCTTTCTACCTCTCTGTACCCCACTCGTTCGCTCACCCACTCACTGCATGCCCTCTTAGCACATGGCGCTTCTTAATGGTCAAAGCACACTCTCTTGGTCTCACCCACTCACACGCTCCTTCCTGTATGTGCGTGGCACCCTGCCCTCCCCCTAGCATGGCAGGGCTTCATAGTGGTGGAGACCAACTTCAGAGTCTATGCGTACACGCAGTCCAAGCTGCAGGCGGAGATTCTATCACTCTTTATGAGGTGCGTCCATACATTATAAAGGGATCATGAGGACATGATCAGTGGAGTTGGTGGGTACACACAGTTTGGGAGGTAAGTCCCTCTGCTGTTCAGAGTGAACACATTCACGCACTTCAAAGTGCAGGCAGAAGCTTTTTCAATCTTCATGAGATAACCCTCCCTAGACCATTGACGGCTCACGAGGGGAGAATCGGTGGAGTTGGTAGGTGGTAACGCAGTGTTCCTGTGGTAAGTCCCCTGCTGCTGTTCCGAGTGCACACGTACACACACACAGTCCAAGCTGCAGGCAGGGATCCTGAGTTACGTCCTGCCCCGCTGCTCTTCATGAGGTGCATGTCGCCCCTCAGGATGATGAGGAGAGGAGAGACGTACCTCACATCCGTGCATGATCATTGAGGGACCATGAGGAGAGAGAGAAGCAATAGAGGTGGCGCTTCAGTGTTGATGAATCGTGAATCATGAATAAGCCAATAAAGGTATGTCCGTCACAACACACGCATGTATGCAGTCCCAGTGGACAGACCGTAGGTACACATCTAGTATGCAGTGGGATCTGGTGGAGGTCGAAGCTGCTGGGGGCATTCGCTTCTCACTCTTCATGTGCTACATGCAAACATTCATTCACACGAATACATGAATTCTGTATCCTGATTCTGTAAGCTGTGATGAGAGCCGACCATTGTTCACCCTTTATGTGATGAGCGTCATGAAAGTACATTGATTGAATCGAAAGTATGGGGTGGATCAGAGTGAATGACTTCCTAGATTGAGTCACATCAGAATCGTTGCTTTTGCTGCCCACCAATACCAAACGCCACTTTGCATTATTCCTCTGCCTCCTTTCCTCCCTGCCTCCCTGCCGCTCTCTCCCTCCTCTACCTCCATGCTTTTCATTCCGCCACTGCCCCTCACTCTACCCAGGCTGGAGTGTCAGCTGCCTCATCTGGTGGTCGGGTTGATGCACCCAGGTGAATTCTGTCTGAGACGACCCTCTCTGCCTCTCCTGTCTCTCCCTCTGCCCCTCGCCCCTCACTCAGGCTGGAGTACCGCCTGCCCAACCTAGTGGTGGGGATCATGAACCGAGAGACCGTCAACAACGCACTTGCTCTCGGCATTGTTGCAGAGCAGGTGGGGTCCTCAGGTGGTTTCAGCTGAGCAGGTGGGGTCCTCAGGTGGTTTGAGCAGGGCAGGTGGGTCCTCAGGTGGTTTCAGCAGGGCAGGTGGGTCTTCAGGTGGTTTCAGTAGGGCAGGTGGGTCCTCAGGTGGTTTCAGTAGGGCAGGTGGGTCCTCAGGTGGTTTCAGTAGGGCAGGTGGGTCCTCAGGTGGTTTCAGTAGGGCAGGTGGGTCCTCAGGTAGGTTCAGCAGACGTGGTGGGATGTTCGCAATCAGTGAAAGATAATGGAAAGAGTTCCAAGAAAATATTGATTCGCCTTGGTACAGAGTTTCAAGAAAGATCAGAGAGATGGGAATGAAGAAGAAAGCTCAGGAAGATCCATCCAAATTGTGGATATTTGGATGGATGAGGGTAGATAAATTGGGGATGAAAAATCCACAGCGGTGCACAAGAATGCGCAGTCAAAGCCCTTACCTTACCCCCCCTCCTCCCCCTTCTCTCCCCCAAAACACCAGATGGTACAGTGTTTGCACAAAATTCCCCTGCAATGTTCTGATACCTCAAACGGTCAGTTAGTGCAGTACGTGCGAGTGAACGCGGATCTAAGCTCCTATCCCTCCCCTTCCCCTTTCCCCCTCTTCACCCCCCTCCCCCAGCCACCAGATAGTGCAGGTGCAGTTCCCCCACAGAATAAGTGCCCCCACAGAATAAGTGCCCCCACAGAATAAGTGCCCCCACAGAATAAGTGCCCCCACAGAATAAGTGCCCCCACAGAATAAGTGCCCCCACAGAATAAGTGCCCCCACAGAATAAGTGCCCCTGAATGCTCTTCCACCACGTCCTCTCCCCCCTTCGTCCTCTCCTCTGAAACCGCCAGATACTGCACTGCAGTACATGCGGAGGAAAGCTCATCTAAGCTCTTATCCCTCCTCTCCCCTTTGCCTCCTTCTCCCCTCCCCTCCCCGCAACCACCACCAGATAGTGCAGTAGGTACGGACGAACTCTCATCTAAGCCCCTATCCCTCCCCTCCCTCCCCCCCCCCACCTCTCCCCTCCCCTTCAAGCCACCAGATAGTGCAGTACATGCGGAAGAACGCTCATATAAGCCATATTGTTCCTCCCCCTCCCCCCCCCCCCTTCCACGCCGCCACCAGATAGTGCAGTACATGCGGAAGAACGCCCATCCCCTGGTGGCCACGAAGCCCCCTGTGGTGCCCGAGACAGTGGTGGACCAGGTGCTGTGCGGTGGGGCCATGTGTGGCACTGTGTGGTGCTGTGCTGTGCGCTGTTCAGTGTTGTGTTCTTTGTGTATGTGCGGTGTACGACTTGTGTGTAGCGTGGGATGCGTGCGTGTGTGGTGTATCATACCATCTCGGACCATGTCGAAACAAGTCACACCATCTGACGTCGATGAGGCCTATTTCACACTATCACATACCATCTTACACTGCCATATACCATCTGATATCATCAAATACCATACAGTACTCCTTTTTGCATCGGATAACATCTCATTATGAGCATTTTTTTCCATTTTTTCTTATTTTCAACCCTACTCGGGTAAAACCCATTCAGCTGCCCATTGCCCTTACTACTCTGCTTCTCGTTCGTATCACTTCGTGTCCCATTGTTCCTCTGCTGCTCCGCTGCCCTGTGTGTGTATCAGATCCGTCTGTGGGAGTTTGATCGCAACAGAGTGGCCACCACTGCTGCCGTGCTCTACGACGACTTCCCCACCCAGGTGATTCCCCAGGTGATTCCCCAGGTGATTTCTCAGGTGATTCCCCAGGTGATTTCCCAGGTGATTCCAACAAGATGAGGTATAGCTGCTCCCCACCCAGGTGATTCCAACAAGGTGAGGTATGGCCGCTCCCCACCCAGGTGATTCCAACAAGGTGAGGTATGGCTGCTCCCCACCCAGGTAATTCTCCAGGTGATTCCAACAAGATGAGGTATGGCTGTTCCCCACCCAGGTGATTCTCCAGGTGATTCAAACACGATGAGGTATGGCTGTTCCCCACCCAGGTAATTCTCCAGGTGATTTCAACAATGTGAGCCCATTCAGGTGATTTCAACAAGGTGAGCCCGCCCAGGTGATTCCAACAAAGTGAGCCTGCCCAGGTAGTTCCAACAACCATGGCCGCGCCCCACCCATGTGAGCTATTGCCAGTGTTGTCTCAGGCTCTGGCATTTCTCACCCAGGTGAGTTCTATTAGCATGACACATGGCGGAGTATGGATAAATGGTTCGCATATCCACCTGCACACATGTTTCCAAATGTGTACACCTATCGGTTTATAATCTCTCAACGTCAGGCAACTCCATCCTTCTCATGTGATTCAGCTTCCCCTCGCCTGAACCAACTGAACATGCGCTTACACGCGTTTCTGATCTGTGCCCTCGAGATTTTCTGCAGGAAGTGTTTGAAGCCATCGTTAAGCATGCGCAGCAGATTGGTGCGTTGCTGTGGAAAGACAGCAAGAAGAGAAAGTTTGTTGTTCGTGCCGATGCACACGATAGCGTGCGGACGTTTATTCGCCACCTCGGCAGCAAGAAGAAACGGCGCAGTGACGCGTAGTATTTGTCGCACTCTTGAAGTCTGAAAATGTGGGCAGAAGCAAAGGCGATCCAAGCCAAATTTACGCACTGGTACTGTGTTTTTTTTCTTTTTATCAAAAACATCATCTTAGGTTGAGCCTGCATTATATCCCCGAACTCCAAGCCCCTCAAGAGTTTGTTGGAAATATATGAGAACACATTCACACATTCACAGCTAGAGGTGAAGTTATATGCGTGAACGCCATAGCATCCAAACTCTATGGCGAATATGGGGCGACCTGAGAATTCGACTAAATTCTCGTGATGTTTTCGCTGACGTCACAAAAAATTGTGCCGCAACCCCCACGAAATGCGAAATGCCACGAAGCTCCTCCGAAAAAGAGACCCGTCAATTGCGTTTCCCCGAAGCTGCTTGTCGAGAATGGAAGCATCTCGATCATTCCCTCGCTTGGCCACACCGTGGTCTACAAGACCAACTAAACCATCCTGCCTGTCACAAACCAAACCCCGCCACACCACCCAACACCGAACCAAACGCGCCCAATCCACAGTCAGACATGCATGGCGCGTCGCGGTTTGCAGTGATTGGCACGTCCAGGTCGCCTGAACGATCTCGACCTGAGGCGCACTCGTGTACGCGTACTTACTCCTGCTGACGCCATCTCAGTCAGCAAATATTATGCTTCGCATTGCAACCGTCTTTGAGCCTGCTAAGCTCCTCCGAGCGGCAAAAGTCTCTACACCTCTGCTCTGTCCGTCGCGGTCCTCCACGTTTGCGCGAGTCATCATGGCCTCGGCCACGCCCAACCCGCTCCTCACGCCGTTCACTCTCCCGGACGGCACGGAGCTCTCAATGCGCATCGTCTACGCGCCGCTCACGCGCGATCGTGCCGTCGGGACCATCCCGCAGCCGAACGCCGCGACTTACTACTCGCAGCGCGCGCACAAGGGCGGGCTTATGCTCACCGAAGGCACGTGTATTTCGCCCGAGGCGCACGGGTACCCCGACACCCCGGGGATCTACACGGAAGCGCAGATCGCGGCGTGGAAGCCGGTGATCAAGGCGGTGCACGACAAGGGCGCGCGGTTCTACTGCCAGCTGTGGCACGTCGGCCGCGCGTCGCACCAAGGTGAATCCCACTTCTGCTCCTTTCTTCGACGACGTCGACCGATCGCATTGGCAATGATGACGACACGTTGGGGCGCCTCCAGCATTGTTGCTTGACCGATGTGGGAAATCATCATGGCGGAGCCTGGGAGTTGTCGTCAATGGTACGCCTGGACGACGATTCACTTCGAGCTGGCAATTTTCAAGTCAATTTCCTCGCGTTTCACACGTAAAATCCCCCACATTAGCGGGAACATTGTTTGCTCATCTCCTCATCTTTCGTTTTCCTCGTTTCGTCCCCTCGCCGTTTCGATCATACTATCGCGCCACGTATCGACCTGGTAATTCCCTTTCTTTTCACGTCGATCGTTCTCCATCACCAACTGTCGTTCCTCGTCGCCCCTCCTCTGCTCCTCGTCATTATCCTGCCCCTTCAACCCCCCCACTGCGCGCCGAGCAGAGTACCAGCCTGATGGCGCCGCGCCGATGGCTCCGTCCGCCATTCCTATCATTAGCGAGGAGATCAAAGTGTACATCAGCACTGGCCCAGCCGACTATCCCACGCCCAGGGCCATGACCGCGGAAGAGATCAAGAAGGTACGGAGCCGGACAGGCAATCGGAGGAACGGGGACGGACACGACGTCCTAAACCTTAAACGTTGTTGAATCCTTTTCGGGCGGGACTCAAGCGGCAAGCGAGGCACCGCAGTGGTGCTCGCTGCATGACGTGAACGCATCGCATGGCCCTATCAATTTCCGCTATATCGCCGGTCCTGCTCCGAGCGAGTCGCGCCGCTTTACTCTGGCGAATCCAGGCGACCGAGCGGTACCGCGCGATCGACAAGTGCCGCGCGACCGAGCAAGCTAGAAGCACCGCGTGGGCTGGGCAGCACCGCGAGGGCGCACGCAGTATTGCGCGGCTGCGCGCCAGAGTTTCTCCGCACGCATTCCTTTTGAACCATCTCCGTTGTTCACCTTCCCATCATCGCAATTCCCAGCGCGGTGACTCCAGGCTATCGAGCAGTAGTACCCAATTCCCAGCGCGGTGACTCCAGGCTATCGAGCAGTAGTACCGGGCGGCTGCGTTTCCCATTTCATGTACTTCCATGCTCCGTGCTCTTCCAGCAAAATCTCAGGCATCTCAGTTCCGTGATCCCATATCCGTTGTTCATTTCCTCTCTCCCCCCCCCCCAATCATCGTATTCCATTGTTCACCTTTTTCCATCGTCGAAATGTCCGCCACGGGTGGTTCCTCCAGGTGGTGGAGCAGTTCCGAGTGGCGGCGCGTAACGCGATCGACGCGGGGTTCGACGGCGTGGAGGTACACGGCGCGAATGGGTACCTGCTGGAGCAATTCATCAAGGTGAGATGATCTTGGGGAGTGGGCGATATGGCGGCCATTCGTGCGAATCCGTAACATTTCGGCTTATCGCAGTCAATGGTTACCTGCCTGGATCATCAAGGTGAGACGACCGCGGCTCGTCCGACGAGCCAAAATGTACCTGACCCATAGGTGTCCCCTAGGTAACCCTCGGGTTAGATTTGGGTCGTACATGTGAGTTGGTCTTGGTAATTACAGTTAGCATGAGTATGGTAGAATAAGGACAGTTCAATGCACTTCATGGCATAAGCTGCTTGGGTTTGATCGGATTCGCTCCTTTCTCCAGATTTATGCACCACATCATGCAACAACAACGAGCACGAGGTCAAGTTTGGATACAGCGCGCCGTACCTCATTATTCCCGTTCCCTCAACAACCCTCCGTCACCCTTCTCCCATTCTCCCGCTTCCGCCTCCCCCGTCCCCCTCGCCAGGACGGCATCAACAAGCGTGAGGACGAGTTTGGCGGGTCCCTCAATATCCCCGCTCGTTCAACAACCCCAACCCCGCTCTACCCCCATAACCCCCACACCTTTTCTCCCCCTCCCCCCTTGGTTCCTCCCCCCTTCCCCACTGCCAGGACGGCATCAACAAGCGCGAGGACGAGTTTGGCGGCTCCCTGGAGAACAGGCTTCGCTTCCCCCTGCAGGTGGGTCAGGCTGTTGTGACTCTTAAGGGGGGCGACTGTGGTGTTAGTTTACAGCCTCTAGCACTGGGGATGACTGGGTGCTTGGTTCCTTGGGACTACTCTGCTGTTAATGATTAGGGTGGAGCCTTATTGGAATGTTGAAATCAGGCTCCTTTCCCACCCCTTCTCCTTTTCCCCCCTTCTCTCGCCCACCTCCTCCTTCCCCTTTTGTTCCGCCGCCCCGTTCCTACTCCCTCCTTCCTCCCCAGCCCCTGCTTCCACACCCCGGCAGCGGAAGAGGTTTCTGAATCTCCTCCTATCTCCACTCTTCTCCCACGCCCACCTGCCCGTGACCCCTTCCTCCCTCCTTCCCCATATGCAACCCATATCCTCCTCCCGCCTTCCTCCACCCATCTCCCCCCATCGCATCCCCTTGTTGCTCCCCGCATCCCTTCCCCGCCCCCTCCCCCCACACATGGTGATTTAAGGCAGTGGTGGACGAGGTGTTCGGCAGCAAGGAGACTTTGGAGTCAATTCAAAAGCCCCATCCCCCCTCCTTCCTCCCCCCATCTCCTCCGCCCATCTCCTACCCTAGCCTCCCCCTATGGCCCCCCTGCAGATGATCAAGGCAGTGGCGGACGAGGTTGTTGTTGAGCTGACTTGTCCCTCCCCTCCCCACCACGCTGCCCCCCATTGCCCGCCCACCAGGTGATCAAGGCAGTGGCGGACGAGGTTGTTGTTGAGCTGACTTGTCCCTCCCCTCCCCACCACGCTGCCCCGCCCGCCCACCAGGTGATCAAGGCAGTGGCGGACGAGGTGGGCGCCAGCAAGGTGGGCGTGCGGCTGTCGCCGTACAGCTCCTTCCTGGATGCTTCCGACTCGGACCCCGTGGGCACGTATCTGGGGCTGGTGGAGGCCGTCAACAGCCTGGGCCTGGCGTACGTGCACTTCATTGAGGCGCGCGCGCAGGGGAATGCTGACTTGGAAGATGCAAAGGAGGTGAGCGGCGTGTAGGTGGTGCTGGGTTTTGAAGGAGTTGAGTGGTTTGCAGGCAGTGCGGTGAGTACTGTCTGCTTGTGACAGAGGTGTGTGGAGGGAAAGAGGAGGGCTTGACGGCTGCCTGGTTGGTATCTACCGGAAAAGAGCTCGAGGGCTTGCGAGTTTCATCGCGTTCTTCTCTTTGTCCTTCTCTTTTCGATCCTGTCATTGTTGCGGCTTTGAATTCGCATTCCATTGCCCCTGCTTCCCTCCTCTTCCGCTATCTGCAGACTCTGGAGCCATTCCGCAAGGCGTTCAAGGGGCCCTTCATTGCTGCTGGCGGCTACAAGGTATGCTCCTGTGGCCCGTGTGACCTGTGTGGCCCTTGAAAGTATGCTCGTGTGACCCATCTGCCTTGTCATGAGAGACACCTGAGACTACAGGATGTTCCCTTTTGCTGCTCGCTGGAGATGGCGGACAGGATGATGCCTCTCCCATCTCTCTTCTATCATGTACTGCGATGCATACAACATCGCCATCACTGCTGCTGCTTCTGCTGGTTGTGAGGTACCCTGGTGCTTGGTATCGAGTAGTGTACAGCAATGCAAACAACACATATTGTTTGTTACTCACGATATTATCGTACATCTTTCGATCTGCGTCGTCTATGCCCTGCCAGTACCGATGCTCCCTTGATCACGCTTGCACACAAAATCTTCCACCCCATCGTCTCACTGCTCTCTTTTCCCTTCCTCTCCAACCCTCCACTATTGTCCCAACTACCAGCGTGAAAACGGCATGGAAGCTATTGAAAACGGATCGGCGGATCTGATCACGTACGGCCGCCTCTTCCTCGCCAACCCAGACCTGCCGAGGCGCTTTGAGCTCAATGCGCCCCTCAACCCGTACGACCGCAGCACCTTCTTCAGTGGGGATCAGGTCAAGGGGTACATCGACTACCCTTTCCTGGATGAGGAACCCAAGAAGGCTGAATAGAAGGGGATGCTTGAGTCAGATGTGAGGTGCGTTGGTATATATGTACCGGTGCTGGAATTCGGAAAGGTTATTGCAGCACTCTCGGAAATATGACTGTCTTCTTCGCATTAGCCTCGTATAGAGGAAGCGGTCGTCCACTTTATCGTACTACTCTCTTATAGAGAATGCGATAAAAGGGGGGGTGAAATGTGACTATTTTGCATGCCGCAGGAGTACGGTTGTGGCGCAAGGGAATGTACCCCTCAAAGTACATGGCTAGCTATAATTATTAAAACAAGTGTAGTATCAAATGCTGCATAGCAAATCTTACAACTTAGAGCGGGGTACATCTCTGTTCAAAAAGCTGTGTAAGACCAGAATATTCAAAACTACCGATACCGATTGTGCCATTCATACCGGTAGAAGTTTTAAAACGCCATTGACGGCATTCGAAACCCATGTGATTTCTTGAACAGCACATTTAAAAGGCTTTTTTTAACATCAGTGTAACGCACCCTTTCTCTGTGTTGGAAATATGTTCAGTTGTTGCTCCATGTAACCACTACAGTTACTAAAAGTGTATGCACTTTCAAACGTATTCTGAATAAAATTTCAATAACATGGTACCGGTAGTATCCTCTAAAATGAGGTGCGGCCCATAGGGTACTAATCAGGGCATTTTGCCCATGGATTTTGAGCCTTGGTGTTGTGCCGAGCAATTTAGCAAGTACCGTAATGCGTGCCATACTGTCATCATGGTAACAGGTGGCACGAGGAGATCCCCATCACTGACACCACGACTGCTTCATTCTTCCGTCGTGCTGCCATGCTCTCGTGCTGCCATGCTGCCATTCTGCCATGCTGTCTTGCTGTCATGCTTTGCTGTCATCCTTTGCTGTATAGCTGTCACGAGGACGAGGCCACCTGTGATGCCACCTCGGATGCAAAGTCCTTGGCCTCCCTGCCACGTGGCACCATTGCAGAAAGGCAAGGATAATTAGCCACTTGCATGGAAGTGAGTAAAAGGCTAAGAACCAGTTATACTACTCAATAATAAGGGTAAAAATAATCATCCTAATCAATAAGACAATCGTACTCATTGATGATCTACAGGTAAGAACCCAATCGCACCTTTCAATGCCTTCTCCAACCTCTAGCCATAAAAAGTGCTCCACTTGAATCGTTGCCCCGGCCTTCTTGGAACCTTCTGCTAGCACTTTCTGTGGGACATGGGATGGAGCATGCAGAGCAGAATGTGGTTAATAAGGCATGCAGAGCAGAATGCGGTTAATAAGGCATGCAGAGCAGAATGTGGTTAATAAGGCATGCAGAGCAGAATGTGGTTAATAAGGCATGCAGAGCAGAATGTGGTTAATAAGGCATGCAGAGCAGAATGTGGTTAATAAGGCATGCAGAGCAGAATGCGGTTAATAAGGCATGCAGAGCAGAATGCGGTTAATAAGGCATGCAGAGCGGAATGTGGTTAATAAGGCATGCAGAGCAGAATGTGGTTAATAAGGCATGCAGAGCAGAATGCGGTTAATAAGGCATGCAGAGCAGAATGTGGTTAATAAGGCATGCAGAGCAGAATGCGGTTAATAAGGCATGCAGAGCAGAATGTGGTTAATAAGGCATGCAGAGCAGAATGCGGTTAATAAGGCATGCAGAGCAGAATGGGGTTAATAAGGCATGCAGAGCAGAATGTGGTTAATAAGGCATGCAGAGCAGAATGTGGTTAATAAGGCATGCAGAGCAGAATGCGGTTAATAAGGCATGCAGAGCAGAATGTGGTTAATAAGGCATGCAGAGCAGAATGTGGTTAATAAGGCATGCAGAGCAGAATGTGGTTAATAAGGCATGCAGAGCAGAATGCGGTTAATAAGGCATGCAGAGAAGAATGCGGTTAATAAGGCATGCAGAGCAGAATGCGGTTAATAAGGCATGCAGAGCAGAATGCGGTTAATAAGGCATGCAGAGCAGAATGCGGTTAATAAGGCATGCAGAGCAGAATGCGGTTAATAAGGCATGCAGAGCAGAATGCGGTTAATAAGGCATGCAGAGCAGAATGCGGTTAATAAGGCATGCAGAGCAGAATGCACTCAGCCGAGCATGCAGAATGGACTGCATGCAGAATGGACTGCATGCAGAATGGACTGCATGCAGAATGGACATGCAAGCGCAGTCCGCTTGCAAGTTGACTTGGATCACACTGCCTATGCTCACCTGCGCGACTCTCTTATAGTCCAGCGCATATGCCTGTTCCATCAGCAGCACCTCCCCGTAGAACCTGCCCCCTTCGAACCAGACACATGTACGTACTGCGTAATTCAGTCAGCCTCGCCGCTCAGCACCCACCTGCACGGTCCTCTTATCATCCAGGGCATAAGGCTGCTCCGTCAGCACCACCTCGCCGTAGAACTTGCCCAGCCGCCCCGCTACCATCTTCTCCACCACAGCCGCTGGCTTGCCCGCTGCCACCGCCTGCATGGGAGAGAAAGACAAGAGGAGTCTAAAAATCTGTAGCAAGCAATCAGCCGCCCCGCCACCATCTCCTCCACCGCGCCTGCTGGCTTGCCCGCTGTCACCGCCTGCGTGGGTGGGGAGAGGAAACAGGGAGGAAAGGGGAGGAAGGAGAAAAGAGGAGTGTCAAACACATGCCAGTAGCAAGCCCTCTGCCGCCCCTGCACCATCTTCTCCACCACACTTGCTGGCTTGCCCGCTGCCACCGCCTGGATGGGAGAGGAGAGAGAAACAGGGGAGCCCAAAAAGCCTAAAGAGCAGAGCCTGAAGAACTTGCGTGGAAGAAGAGAGAGAAACGGCTGCCACTGGAAAGCATTCAGGCACCACGAGACAATTTCTCCACGATGCTGCTTTGCTTCCTTGCTGCTGATGAGGACTCAATGGCGAGACAGGTGGTGACGTTAGGGGAGGGTTAGAGCTGACCAATTGCACTAGTGTTGACCCACCGGTTGACATGCATTGACTAATTCGTTCACTAGTGACGCGCTGGCCCAACTATTCACTAGCATTGACCCACACTCACCTGTGCTCGCAGCACGTCACTCTCCCTCTCCACCACCTCCCCTGGAACATCTTCTCGCCTATAATAGAGCGGTCTCATCGCCACCACATGCATCGAGTTGACTTTTGAGTCGACTCAAAGGTCAAGACACGCTCACCTGTGCTCGCAGCACGTCACTCTTCCTCTCCACCACCCCCGTAGGCACGCCCCTGCTGCCTCTGGCACTCCTTTCCCCACCTGTTAAGTAGCGTCGAGTCAACGCACACTCACCTGGGCTCGCAGCACATCACTCTCCCTCTCCACCACCTCCGCAGGCACGTCCTCCCGCCTCAGATACAGCGGTCTCATCGCCACCACATGCATCGCCACTCCTTCCCCCACCGCCGCTGCTGCCGCTGCCGCTGCTCCCGTCTCCTCCACTGCTCCTGCCTCTGATCCTGCCTCTGATCCTGCCTCTGATCCTGCCTCTGATCCTGCCTCTGATCCTGCCTCTGATCCTGCCTCTGATCCTGCATCTGCGCTGCTCCCTTCTCTGCTGCTGCTGCTGCTGCTGCTGCTGCCTGAAGGCTGGGAAAGAGAGAGGGACACAAGACTAGCTATCCGCCCCAAGCCAGCCCCGGGGCTGCTGTGCAGGTACGTGGCCACCGAGCCAGACGGCCGAGGCTCGGGAAGCAGGAAGGCTCGGCGCAGGCGCACGTTCTCCCCAGTCAGCGCTGCCACCTCAGCCACCGCCTCTGCCAGCTGGCGACTTCCCGTCAGCTTCGGGTGGTCGAATGACACCGTGGCTTGCTGGTGGTGGGCGGGAGTGGGTGTGGGGACAGGGGCGGGGAGGGCATGTAGGTGCAGGTCGTGAATGCAGCCAATTTCCGGCTTCCCGTCAGCTATGGGTGGTCGAATGACACCGTGGCTTGCTGGTGGTGGGAGGGAAAGGGGGGCAGGGATGCGGAGGGGAATTAGTTGGGATGTGTGAATCCCACCAACACAGCCACCGCCTCTGCCTGTCAGCTGCCCTCTTTGTGATAGTGGTGGTCGAACCACACTGTAGCTAGCTGGAGGTGGGAGGGGATGAAGGGCAGGAAGGGGTGGAGAGGGGAGTTAGGTGAGAGGTGTGAGTGAATGCGTGAATGCTGGCCACACGGCCACCACCTCTGCCTGGCAGCTGCCGGCTTTGTGGTAGCTTCTGGTGGTCAATCCACGGTGTGGCTTGCTGGTGGCGGGAGGGAGGGAGTGGGCGGTTGCGGTGATGTAGGTCGGCGGGGACGATGTGAGTGCAAGTGTGAAGATGCGAGTGGGAGTGCATGTGTGTGGGACAATGGGAGGGAAGGGGATTGAATGTCCACTTGGAAAGAGACGGATAACAGGTGGAGGGAACGCGAAATCACCAACACCATACCATGCTAACTACTGACTTGCCAACTACTGTCCCGGTATTTGATGCCGCACTCACTTCAAGGTTTGCTAGAGGCAGAGGGAGCGGAAGAGATGCGGAGGACGAGGAGGAGGAGGGTGAAAGGCTCAACGCTGCGGCTGCTGCCTTGGAAACCTGCAGGGAGGTAACGAGGGAAAGGAGAGAGGATTGAAAAAAAGGAAAGAGAGAGAAGGAGATGAGGAATAGAGGAGGGGTAAGAGCAGAAGGGGATTGAGATGGTGGAGAGGTGTGTGTGAGGGCAGGGAAAAAAGAGCCCATGTCCGAAAGGGTGTACTTGGATTAGAACCCTCTCACCCCTCTCACCCCTCTCACCCCTCTCACCCCTCTCACCCCTCTCACCCCTCTCACCCCTCTCACCCCTCTCACCCCTCTCACCCCTCTCACCCCTCTCACCCCTCTCACCCCTCTCAGCCTTGCACACCCGTCCGTGTGGGATGGCACCCTCACCAGCAGCATTTGATGAAAACGATTTCACTCCTAAGGTTTCTTCTTCGTCGGTGCACTACTCTTTCCCACTCACTGCAGATAGCAGTAATCATGATCGTCTTAAAGCCCACCTCACGGGTCAGCTCTTGAGCCACCACTCCCTTGCATGCGCATTCATCTCCACTTCCAATGCAGCCACCATCCTTAAGGCTCGTGGGCTTCAAGGCTCAAGGTTCAGGTTTAAGGTTTTAGGTGAAAGATTAGCCCCTTACAAGACGAACTCACGAGCAGTTGGAAGAGACCGTTGCGTTGCGAGCAACAAAGTCCGTCTCACTGTTGATCTTCACCGCCACCGCCACCACGCCTTGCCTGCCACCTGTGCGCACTTGTTTGTGTGTTTTGAGAAGACTGGAGACACTCACCAGCAGTTGAAAGAGGTCGTTCCTGGCAACCAAGTCCGTCTCGCTGTTCACCTCCACCACCACCGCCCCCATACCCTTTGTTGAGGCCCTTTGTGTGTTTTGGGTTGACAGAAGGTGCACTCACAAGCAGCTGGAAGAGGGTGGCACTCACCAGAAGCTGAAAAAGGTCGTTGCGTGCAACAAAATCAGTCTCGCTGTTCACCTCCACCGCCACCGCCCCCACGCCCCGCCGCACCGCCACACTTCCACTGCCATTTGCACCCACTTCTTCGTGTGTTTTGGGTTGACCGAAGGTGCACTCACAAGCAGTTGGAAGAGGTCGTTGCGTGCAACAAAATCAGTCTCACTGTTCACCTCCACCGCCACCGCGCCCACGCCCCGCCGCACCGCCACGCCCACCAGCCCCTCCGCTGCCACCCGCGCCCGCTTCTTCTGCGCCGCTGCCAGGCCCCGCCTCCTCAACTCGGTGAATGCCGCGTCTGGGAGGGGGAGGGAGAAGTGGAAAGCAGGGGTTGGGGGAGGTGGGGAAGGGGGGAAGGGGAGAATGGGGGGAAAAGGTGGTCTTGGAGTCACTCCCGCCCACCAGCCCCTCTGCTGCCACCCGCGCCCGCTTCTTTTGCGCTGCTGCCAGGTCTCCTCAACTTCGTGAATGCCGCGTCTGGGGGGAGGTGGGAGGAGAGGGGCGGAGGGGGGAGTGGGCGGAGAAACATGGTGGTTGAGTGGTTCAGTCCCTTACACTCCCCCAGAAGCCCCTCTGCTGCCACCTAACAGCACCTCGCGCACATCCCACCCCCACCAGCACCGCTGCTTGTACCGGTGGAGAATGTAGGTGCCGCTCGCGACAGTACAGCCCCGCTACAGTACATCCTCGCTACAGTACCGCCTCCCTACAGTACAGCCTCGCTACAGTACCGCCTCCCTACAGTACCGCCTCACTACAGTACCGCCTCATTACAGGAACGCCTCACTACAGTCCCGCATCGCTACAGCAACGCCTCACCCAGATCCCACCCGGCCGCCACCAGCGCCGCCTTCACGTCCTTCACCGGCGCGCCCGTGCGCGCGCGCAGCTCCTTGATCGCCGCGAGGTTCCCCCCTCCGCCGGATCCCCCCCCCGCGCCTGCTCCCTCGCCCGCGCCGCCCCCAGCTTGCGCGCAACGCCCGCCGCTGCTGCTGGCGGCGGAGAAAGCGCGGGAGGTGGCGGAAAACAAGGCGGCGGCAGCCCAGGGGAGCAGCTTCGCGCGCAGCAGAGGGCCGCTGACGTCACTGGCGCACTTGCCGATCGCTGATGACGTCATTTTGAATCGGATCTGGAAGTATGGACGCAAGGTGGTGGAAGTGCCTGGCGATGGAGAATGGGCGGACGACGCGCGTGTGGTGGGGCGAGAGGTAGTAGCGGTGCTAGAGGCAGTGGAGACAGAGGGGAAGCGGCCAGCGGGCAGCGCGAAACGGAGCAGAGGGCGGGGCAGTGCGCAGCGCGAAATCTAAGACTTACGATGAAGCTGGCGGGTATCTGAGAGGGCCAGAACTGAGCAACTTACATGTTTTGATCTGAATGCTTCACTAGAACAGCCTTCACTAAATGTGTGTTTGTCAGTTCGACTTCCAGCCAAAAAGTTTCACTAAAACGATATTTATGCAACCAGGAATCGGAAACACTCGCATAACATGCCTAGTAATATGATATCCATGACCAACACCGACATTGACACCGACACCATAATCATATTAAACCCTTCCAAAATTCTATCAACACCACCTGATAGATTTGGACAACTGTAAGATATTGGAACATTGTTTAACGAGCATTGAAATGTTCGAACAAATAAGGGGTTTTGACAATTTGCGAAGGGCGTGTAACGTATAAGTGAACACCGCTATCACGCCACTTCCAGCACCAGTCTAAGTTGCTTTGGCTGATCCCACCTCTCGACCAACCGTCTCTCGCAGTTCTACCACGCTCCCGTATCCATCCTCCCCTACTTGTTCCCTGGTCTCCACATCCCTCTCCAGGAACTTGGTGGGTGTTGGACACCTTCAGGACCGCGGGGTCACGGTCAATTTCCTGCACACGAGAGGTTTGCGACCTGTACGGCCGTTTCCACTGGGGCACTTCTGGCAACGTTCTCCCAATAGCCTTCGTCAAGTCTCTTCACACTGCACAGTGAACCCCCCCTAGGTAGCTGCGTCTGGTGAGGTTGCTGCGTCGTGCTCCTATCGGTCCCTCTCCGACCCTTCAGTCATGTGGCACCACCGTCTAGGTCAGACTTCACTCCCACGCCTCCACCACATGTCTAGGTACGGTCTTGTTTCATGTCTCCCGCTCTAGCTTCCGTCGTTTCCTCCTTCGCATGCGCCGCCGTGCACTCCTTGCATTGAGGGTAGGCTGTGCACCACCCCTCACTCCTCCTCCCTTGCGCCAGCCACCTCGCCCCTCCAAACTTTGCACTTGAATGTCTGGGGCCCCATCCCAGTCGATGGGTTGGGTCAGGAGAGCTCCATCCCGGTGGTGGTTGACGTGTTCCCGTTTCCTCCTGTGTACGGTCCTCCGTTTCCTCCTGTGTACGGTCCTCCGTTTCCTCCTCCGGACACGTCTCCGACTCTCTCTCATCCTAGTTCACGGACGTCTCCTCCTGTTTTACCAGTCCCATTGGACCGTTCGTCGTCCCGCGGGTGATCGACACTCGTCTTCTATTCAGGACCTCTTTGTTCCTTTGTACTCTCCCTCCATCTGTCCTCCCGTTACCTCCTTTGTCGTCTCTCACTGTTTCCTCATTGTCTCCCACTAACTATTATTGTTTTCCTTGCCCTGTTGTCTCATATATTCTCTCCTCTCTTGTCACGGACCCTACTGCCCCTCCGTCGTCTGTCTCGGCCCGTGTTGCCGCTATCGCAGACTTTGCGCTGTCACTGACTTTGCCGCCACCCGTCGCATTGACTGCGCCACCCGCTTGGTGGCCTCTCTCCTACCGGTCCTCTGGTAGTGTTTGCTCTTGGTTGTGATGTCCTAGTGGACATCCAGTTTGAGCTGGAGTTCCTTGCGGCCACTGCTCCCCATCTCTGTGCCATGCTGCTAGCCCCTAAGGGAGACCCTTATGCTCCAGACATCCCAACTCCTAGTACTTCTGCTAAGGCAGGCCTCTCAGTGGATAGTTGCCATAGACCTAGAGATGGCGTCTTGGAGGTACACGTGCACGTAGATCTCCCTCCCTGGGCGAACATAGTCGATGGCATGTGGATCTTCAAGGTGAAGCAGCCACCTGGATCGCCGCATGTCTTCAAGGCGCTCCGTGGCTAGAGGCTTCAATCAGCATGAGGAAGTCGACTCCTTTCAGACCTTCTCCCCCACCCCGAACATGACTACTGTTCGGGTGCTACTGCACGCTGCAGCACAACGAGACTACGAGCTACACTTACTATAATTTTTCACTGCCTTCCTCCAGGGCAGCCTGCACGAGGAGATTTGGCTACGCAGTCCTCCTGGATTAACTTGCACATTCCCGCTTGGGACCCCGTAGAGCTTGAGACGGCTAGTCTACGGACTGCCCTAGGCGCCTCGTGAGTGGCACGACACTCTGCGCACCATTCTTTCTTACCTCAGTTTTCGTCCTTCGTCTGCTGGCCCGTCATTGTTCGTACATTCCGGTTCTGCTCATTTCTTTGTCCTCGTCTTTGTCGACGACTTGGTCCTTGCTATTGCAAACAGGGTTGCTCTGGCTTCAAGTGTCAGAGGTCCACTGGTGATCCCCGATTGATCCTAGGGAAGGGTTACAGGCATGTTGGCCTGGGGGGTTATGGGCGCACTGACCCGCTACTTAACAAGCCCTTTTATCCCAATGGTCTAGTGGTTGGGATTCTGACATGGTATCAGAGCGAAGGTCTCGGGTTCGAATCCCAGTGTGTGCACCTCGGGCATCCCAGTGCGGGGGGGTGTCAGAGGTCCACTGGTGATCCCCGATTGATCCTAGGGAAGGGTTACAGGCACGTTGGCCTGGGGGGTTATGGGCGCACTTACCCGCTACACAAACAAGCCATTTTATCCCAATGGTCTAGTGGTTGGGATTCTGACATCAAGGAATTAAAAAAATGCAGAAGAGACACACCTGCACTGGCCTTGGTGAGTTGCGTAGCTGTCTTGGCTTCTAGATCACCAGGGACAGAGCAGTATGCACCACCGCTTGGACTTAGTCACACATGATGTAGCATGTACTTCAATGGTTCGGCTTCCAGTTCTCCACCATAGAGCCCACTCCTCTTGTTGTTGACCACATACTCACTGCTACTGTTTCCGACGAGCCTGTTGAGCTGAGTGGTCGCTAGGCAGAGCTTGTGGGTTGCCTCATGTATCAGATGACGTGCACTTGACCGGACCTTAACTATCCTCTCAGCGTCCTTGCTATGTTCCAATTGGGAGACACCGTCTCGTTCACTAAACACTCGCTAAGAGGGTAGCAAAGTACCTGGCGACCACATCAAGCATGGTGCTTGTACTTGGAGGAGGCCAGCCATTGCAACTTACCGGGCACACTGAATCGTCGTGGACGGACGACAAGGATACTCGCATGTCTGCACAGGGTTACAGTTTTTGCCTAGGCTCTGGACTTGTGTCTTGGAGGTCAATATGAGCGTCGTCTGTAGCTTCGTCCATCTATGAGGCTGAGATCTACGCCGGTGTCATGGCTACTCAGGAGCTCCGCTGGCTAACTTTCTTGCGCACTGACCTAGGTGAGTGGCCTAATTATACACCGTCATTGTTCGCAGATAACAAGGCCATGATCCTCTTGTGTCGAGAGCCTCGACTAAAGAGCAGAGTGGAGCACATCGAGCTGCGGTACTTCCTGCTGCGAGAGCTACAGCGTCGCGGCCATGCACGCTTGGTCTTTGTGGCCTCAAAGGCCAACACTTTGGACGTCTTCACCAAGGATCTCCCGCTTGGTGACCACCACAGCTTCTGTTCGTAGATTGGCCCTGTTCAGACATGCCCTTGTTTGTTGTAGGCTTGCCTCTTGTACCTTGCTCTCCTTGTTTTGTTGTTCATATATATAGAGATGAACTCTTGAACTGGCCTTGTGGCCGTTTGTTTAAGAGGCTGGCTAGTCGTACCACCCTGAGTTGCACCTCTTACTTTGTTTCGTTTGTTGATTGGTCTTCTGACCATCTGTCTCTCTTATTTGCTTGATGCCCCTCACCTAGCCTATGGGGTGTGTTAAACTATATTTATGTGTGTGCTAGGTTTGTTAGGCTACAACGAGGTGCATTGTATAGGGTACAATAATTTCTAGGGTTTGCCATATGTACCAATCTCCTGTTAGTCACATTCATTCCGCAGTATTCTAGCAGAATGGCACAATGTGAGCGAAGGCATGAGCGAACATTACAAAGTGTAAGGATTTTTTTGCATTCCTTATTGCGCATCACACTTGACCGCGTACAACACTGTTCACTAGTTCGGCCGTTCTTTGCCCATTACCGGCTAACAGTGTTCTCACCTCACGCACTACGTTTGCCCAACCTTCCACCGTTGTACAAGGCCGAGTCGACATATGCCTCGGGAATAGCTCGAACCTCTCGCTTCCAGCGTTTCTTAGGCTAGCTCGCAACACCTCGTTACGCCTTTGCATCTTTTGCTATTCAATGTTTGCTCATGCCTTCGCTCACATTGCCAATATTTTGCCCCTTTAGTGCAGTCTTTGTTTGCTCCTTCAATTGCACTTGTACCACTTAGATTGTGTTCCTGGGATGTTCGGACAACATCCGCCCCCCAATGGCATGTATGGCATAGGAAACACGTGCCAAACCAACTTCACAACCACTGTGCAGCTACACACGTGCACCAATAATGCTTCAGGTATAGGTCTTAAAATCTTAACCTATTTCAGCGTTCACGAATGATGTTTCGAGAAGTTGGCGCGAAGTTATTTCCATATTCATGCCGCTGCATGGTATGCCAGAACCACGTGGCTGGTGCTGACATGGTGCCCGGACTCTTGGTGTCCGGGTACACCAGGAACGTGATCTTATTATTCAAATCCTCGTTCCTTTTCCAGACTGCACATTCTCTTCCACAACCAGCCCCTCTCGAACTTCTGCTTTTTTTGCTCGAACTTTGTTTGTTCTAAGAGTCGTTGTCCTCGTGCTCTCACGCAAGCACATACAGCCACGACTACGCCTAATCGCTAGGAGGGCCGATGCCTTCGGAGTGGAAGACCGCAATAGGCTCCGAGACCTTACGCATGAGGCCTATATAAGCTGATGCAACATTTTCATGACAACTCGCTCGAAATCGCGACGCTCATGA